CGTTGTATTTAAATTATTTTATCAAATAAAATTTCGTACTACTCATGTAATTCGCAATAATGCAAAATTCGGAATACAGAAATTCGTTATAGAGAACTTTGACTGTAATAATAAAAATAATAATAAAAAAAAAATAATAATAATAATAATAAAAAAAAAAAATAATAAAAAAAAAATATATCAGTTATAGTAAAAATGATTCAATATACCAGAACACGTGATGATCTATAATAATGAGTTAATAAAATTAATTTATATGACTCTGATAATCTTTTTTTTAATATCAATAAATTTTTAATTTTTTTGCATTTATTTTCTAATCCTTTTACTTTTATTTTTCAATCTCTTTTACTAGCTTCTGTTTATACTTTTATTTTCAATTTCTTTTATTTAAAATAAAAGTTAATAGAAAGAATTTAGATAATGATAATAACTCTCAAAAAAAAAGAAAAATTTTTAATATTTGCTCAAAAAAAAGAACTTTGTGAAAAACATCGAGATTTAAAATATAATAGTATACAATTAGCAAAGGAATATAGAATTTCTGATAGTGTAGTATCTGATATTTTAAAAAAATCTGAGCATTGGCTTTCTATTGATACTACTTTATCAAATGCAAATAATTTTTATAAAAAACTAAGTAATTTTCTACAAATAGAAGAGGTCGTTAGTATCTGGATTGATTAACAAATTTCAAGAAGCTTAATTCTTAATGAACTTATTATTCAAGAAAAAGCAAAGGAATTTGCTATATTATTTGATATTAATGGTTTTTTAGCATCAGGAAGATGGTTAAATAATTTTAAATGTAGAAACAACCTGTATATATTTAAAATAAGTGGAAAAGCTGGTAGTGTTTTAATTAATAGAATTTCACAAATGAGAATTGAATTGCAAGAAGTTCTTCAAGAATATGAATTAAGAGATATTTGGAATTGTGATAAAACTGCTCTTTTTTGATCCTTAAAACCATGTAAAATAATAGCACATTCTTCAGTGCTTGGTAAAAAATATCTAAAAGAACGTGTTAGTATATTAGCAATATTCAATGCATCTGGTAATAAAAAATTACCTTTGCTTTTTTTTCATAAATATCAAATACCACATGTATTAAAAGGATTAAAAAAAAATCTCTTCCTGTTTGGTATTATTGGAATTCAAAGGTCTGGATGCAAAGAAGTATTTATAAGCATTTTCTTGAAAGATTAAATTCAAAAATGGTTAGGGAAAGGCGTCATATTATTTTATTAATGGATAATGCTAAATGTTATAATTGTGAAAATATTAATAATTTATCAAATGTTAAAGTTCATTTTTTACTATCAAATATAACCTCATATCTTCAACCACTAAATCAAGGCATAATTTACAGTTTAAAAGTATAATATTGTAAATTATTATATCAAAATTGTATTCAAGCTTATGAGTTTTATGAAAAAGATGATCCAATTCCACCACCAATTAATATTCTTGACTCTATTATTTAATTGCTAAAGCTTGGGAAAAAGTAACTAAAAAAACAATCATTGATAGTTAGGCTAAAGCTGGAATTCTTTCTGATGATAATAATTTTGATATTTCTGATGATAATAATAATATTGAAGAAGATAATATTAAAGAATTACAATCATTAATTAATGAATTACTAATTACAGATTTATTAAATATGAAAGAATATATTAATATTGATGATGAATTAATTGTTGAAGAAGAATTATCATTAGAAGAAATTATTAATATTGTTAGAGGTCAAGCTACAGTGAAAGAAGTTGAGGTAGAAGAAGATGAAATCATAATCTCATCAGATGCATTAAATAGCATTGAAAAATTAATTAAATATATTCAACAAAATTATTTGAATATTAATAATTTAGATATGCAAAGTTTACTTAATTTAAAAAAAAAAATTATTTTTGATAATAGGAAAAGGCAGAGGCAAAGTAGATTAAATGACTTTTTTTATTAGGTATAAAATTTTTTTCAAAATAAAATAAAAAAATAAAGAAAATTTTTTCACGTAAAAATAAAAATTTGATATAATGAATCTTCATGTGATTTTATATAAATTTCAGTATATCAAAAATTTTGCCATATCGAAATATTTGATATACCAGATATTTTTACAGGAATGGATAGTTTCATTACATTGAATTTTACTGTATAATTATCATAATCCTAATGCTTATGATTTTCGTAAATTTATAATATACATTTTTATACCAGTTTAACAATAATAATTTTTTGGCTTTAATAGCTGATTTAAATCTATTTTTTTAAATACTCATTATATTATAGTATCAGAAACATATAAGTTATAATTTATTTGAAGTTTTTTTAAACTTAAATAGCATTTGTATATTTTTCACTAATAATATAATGAATTATTTGACATTTTTTATACATCCTTTATATATATACTTTTGTTATTATTATTTATTTATAAGGTGGATTCTATATCATGATTAAATATTCTTTCATATTATTCCTGTATTTGTTTAACAAAAAATAAAGATATTGGTTTATATTTTTTTGATTATAAATGAAAATTAATATGTTATATAAACCTATTTATATAATTTAATTATTTTATTATACATTTATTGCTTAATAAAATATTTTTTTAAATTGATAATGATTATTATTTTAAACTGATATTGATTAAATTAAAATACTATTATATAATCAAAAAATGTTATGTTGAATTTTAATTATTATTATCAAGCATTTAAAATAATTATAGAATGTAAAAATAAAAATATTTTTTAAATCATTATAAAATATTAGAAGAAGTATATTACTATAACTTTCTTTATCCTCATTTTTTGAATCATCATTCTTAGAACTAGATGTATAAGAATCAAATTAGCTATTTCTCTTAAAATTCTCAATATAAATATTAGGATTAAGTAAAGTAAGTTAATTTATAGTTTTTTCAATTAAATTGAAATATAAGTGAAAAATTTTTTAATAGTTAAATTTATAATTTTACAAAAACTAATATTATAATATTAGAGTTTTATATAAGATAAAATAATATTATAAATTAATATTTCAATAATAAATATATAACATATAAAATTGAGATATTTTAATCTATAATATATTTAAGTTAGTATTTTAATAATTTTATTTCTAATATTATTACTAGAAATCTTTAAATATCTCAAATTAGGAAAGGTTTAATATAGTTATAGTTAATATATCATTTTTATAATTAATAATATTATTAAAATCTAAATACTTTATACTATAATATCTTTATATTAATATACTAGCATTTTTGATTTTTTCTTATTATTTTAATATTAAAACTTTGTAAAATCTAATATAAGTTTATAATATAATTTATAAAATTATTTGTAATCTATTGTACTTTAAAAAATATAATTCCTGTAAAATATGATAACTCTTTATGATTTCAATCAAAGATTTATTAATACTATATTTCTCTGAAAATAAGCATCTCTTTTTTGCTATAGAAGTGCTTATTTTCAGATACTAAAAAAATTTGCTAAGACAATAATCTAGAAACTGCGTCAAATGCTAAAAATGAAGATCCCAAATTATAGATGAGGGATGAAACTCCTTAATAACAGTCGAAACTTAGACGAAACTATATTAAAATCATAATAAGGGATACGATAAAACCCATTCGATACGACGAAAGCTAAAACTGTCAAAACTATATTAAAAACATAGAAAAGGGTATGACGAAATTATTTGAGGAGGTTTCGGCAGGCATCTATATCCCAAATCTCATGATTGCTGATTGTCTTATTATATAATACACAGATCTAAAAATTAAGTTGCATATGCATACATAAACACATAATGATCTTTCTTCATTTATCTAAAAATGTTACAAAAAAAATGGTCACAATGCAAACAAAAGGTTAAGCCACAAAAAAATAAAAAAATTGCTAAACAAAAGCGAATATCATACTCTCTCTCTCAAAAGTCACAGGTTGTAGATTATGCAAAAAAGCATGAAAGAAATAATGCTGCTACATATTTTGAACTTGATGCCAGCATGATTGAATATTAAATAAAGGTAAGCACAAACTAGTCAAGTGAAATAAGCGAAAATAGTAAACAGGTTGGATCTGGCTAAAAAGCTTTCTTTCCAGAAGCTGAAAGAAAGCTGTATAATTAGATAATGAAACAAAAAAAGTAGGCTTTTGCAGTGACTTATGCAACAATATGATATAGAATGCTAGAAATATTAGAAGAACCTGAAATTTTAATTCTTTATAGTAATATATCAAAGGATTTTAAAATATCTCACTGTTGGCTAGTTGCATTTTTGAAACGATATAAACTAGCATTACAAAGACATACAAAAATATCCTAAAAACTTCCAATTCAAATTCAAGATTTATTAGAAAAGTTTTAGCAATTTGTTATTCATCTTAGAATAGAAAAATCCTTCAAAATGGATGAAATTTTTAATATGAATGAAATACCTGTTTGGTTTAATATGGCTGGCAATATCACAGTCAATCCAAAAAGTGAAAAAACTGTACATATTTGAGCAACAGGTAACGAGAAGAATCAGTTTACTATAGTTTTGATATGTGCTATAGGTGAGGACTGATTTATGGAATTTACTGAAAAGGAATGCAAGGAAAATTTTATTGTACTTATAGTTTTTATTCATTTTTATAGATGGTACTAAATTACCACTTATTTGCATTTTTAAAGGAAAACGAACAGTGTTGGCATTAGACTCATTCCAATTGACTGAATTGGACAATTTGGATAATTAGACAATTGGACATAGATCAATAGCGTACAATTGTCCAAATCGTCTAAATAGATTTTTGTTAGATTTGGACTATGTCCAATCGTCCAATTGGATAATTGGACATGCAATTGAACTTAGTTCAATTAATTGTCTAATAAAATTCAATATAGTACATGATAATCAAATAAAAAAATCTTTCGCAAATTTTTAAATTTTTACAACTTCGCAATGCAATAATTTTATTTTGCTTTAGAATTTGTACATTTTAAAATTTGGGTATTTTCATAATAGTCATATTGGCAATAAGGTACTTCGGTATCTCTTTTTTTGTTTTTTTTAATAATAAATATAGAATTGACACGGGAAAAACATAAACTTAGTGGTTATTTTTTGATATTGGAAGAAAAATTCAATAAATGGAACAACTATGCTATTTGTCAGGATTGTATTTGGGTTTTAGGTTCAGAAAAAGTTTCAAAACATAAATTTACAAATACCAAGCGTGCATGTGCAAATCACCTTAAAAGTTGTCCTTATTGGGCCAAAAGACATACCTCAGAACAATCTAATGCTATAATTCAAAATGCAATAGATTATGGATCAAAAAAATGAAAAAAATGTCATCGATTAGTAATTGAGAAGGAAGGGGATGAAGGGGATGAAGGGGAAGGGGATAAAAGGAACGAAAGAGGTGGAAGAGATGCATTTCAATTAACTTTTCATACTCTACTACCACAATTACCTCCATCACGAAATTTAAACAACTTTTTTTATACAATACCATCTATTACATCACATAGAAGCAGTGTAAGTAATATATCTAATATATCATCTCAAAGTTTTAGTCCGCTTGATAATTATGTATATCATGAGTTAAAACCTGAATAAATAGAAACATTTGAATAATTATTGTTAAATGTTACTGTTGCATGCAGGTTTTCTTTTTGTTGGGCTGAAAATTCGGCGGTTAAAGAACTTTTTAAATGGATTAACCCAATGTTATGTTTGCCAAGTCGAAAACAGCTTAGTGGTCGAATTCTTGAAAGAACTACCAACAAAATTTCAGAAACCATTCTTAATGATGCTATTAATGATGATCTTGGTGTTATGTTAACTTTTGACAGATGGAAAAATGTAGCATATCAAAATTTATTAGGGTTTGTTTTGTTTACTTCGGAAAATAATATGATTATCTAGAAAATTGAAGATATTAATGGAAAAAGATGTACAGGTGATATTGTAATGGATGAAACCAAAAAATCTTTTGAATAACTTGAACAAAACAAATTAAAGTCAATGGATTAATCACAGATTTAGCTTCAGAAAATGCTGCTGCAAGGTAATTAATTATATAATTATTTTAATTTATATTTATTAATTATTAATTATTAA